TTTGGAAACCAGGCACCTCTTCCTCAGGAAGAACAAAACCCTCTAACTAAAGAAATAAAAGAATTGAAACAAAGAATAACTGAGCATCTAGAACAGCACAAAAACAACAGAATAAGGCTGCCTGCATTGAAGCTTGTTCCAAAGAAACAGCTAGCACAAGCATTAAAAGATGCAAATACTGCAATATCAACTATAAGCACCAATTCACTGCAAGAAACAAACCAACTAATGTACAGCACAGCTGCAGTTATAACTGAATACCTGGGATGCAAAATCAACAAAGAAGAAAAACAAACAAACAGTGCACCCCAAAAATGGAAGATTAGACTAGAAAATAAGATCAGCAAGTTAAGATCACATGCAAGCAAGCTAGAACAGATGAAAGAAAAGAAGCTGAAGAACAAAAAGACCAAAGAATACCTAATCAAGAAATACCACTTAGAAACAAGGAAGATCAAGGAAGCACTGGAAATAATAAAGCAACAAATAACAGCTATAGCCAGGAAAATCAGTAGATATGAAGCTCGAATTGCAAACTATAGGCAGAACCTCCAATTTCAATCCAATCAGAAACGTTTCTACCAATCCATCAATGGAGAAACTGCAAGAATCAGTCAGTACCTGACAAGGAAGAAACAGTGCAGTTCTGGAAGCAGATATGGGATAACCCAAAGAAATACAACAAGGATGCGGCTTGGTTAAAAGAGGTGGATGCAAATAAAACAGAAGTTGAAATGAAAGAACTAGTAATAACAACAAAAATGGTAGAAAAAAGAGCAAAGAAAATCAAAAATTGGTCAGCACCAGGTGAAGATGAACTGCATGGGTTTTGGTTGAAACATCTAACTGTTATACACCCACTCATTGCCAAGCAGTTCAACAATATACTACAAGGAGGAGAAATTGAAAAGTGGCTAACAACTGGGAAAACCTACCTAATAATGAAAAATCCAGCAAAAGGGGCAACACCAGGCAACTACAGGCCAATTACCTGCTTACCAACAACTTTCAAATTACTAACTGGTGTGGTAGCTGATGCAGTACAACAGCATCTAGTTGAAAACAATCTCTTTCCACCTGAGCAGAAAGGAAACCGCCCCAATAGCAGAGGAACAAAAGATCAACTCCTAATAGACAAAATGATCTTGGAAAACTGCAAGAAAAGGAAGACCAACCTGAATGTGGCATGGATTGACTACAAAAAGGCATTTGACTCTCTGCCACATGACTGGATAATCAAGTGCCTAGAAATAACAGGAGTCAGTAGAATTATCAGAAAATTTGTGCAAAGATCGATGGCGCAATGGAAGACACAGTTGCAGATGAATGGTGAGAGACTGGGAGAGGTTAATATCAAGAGAGGAATATTTCAAGGACATTCATTGTCACCATTACTATTTGTTATTGCACTGTTTCCTCTGTCAATAATACTGAATAACTCAGGACATGGCTATCAAACATCAAAAACATCTACCAGACTATCCCATCTCCTTTACATGGATGATCTGAAGCTGTATGGAAAAACATCATCTGAAATAGAATCGCTGCTCAACACTGTCCGTATATATAGCCAAGATATTGTTATGGAGTTTGGCTTGGACAAATGTGCCACACTTACTATCAAACAAGGAAAAATAATGAAAACTGAAGGAATCAAGATGCCCCACGAAAATAACATTAAGAGTCTGGATGAGGAAGAGTACTACAAATACTTGGGTATCCTTCAAGCTGACAACATCAAGCACACTGAAGTCAAGAAAAAGATTAGAGGTGAATACATCAAGAGAGTGAAGAAGATCTTAAAGTCCAAACTCAATGGAGGAAATACCATAAAGGCAATCAACACCTGGGAAATTCCAGTCATTAGGTACACAGCTGGAATAGTGGACTGGACTCAAGCAGAACTAAAAGCAATGGATAGGCAGACCAGAAAAATAATGACAATGAATCATGCCTTCATCCACGCAGTGACATTGATAGACTTTATCTACCAAGGCAAATAGGTGGGCGTGGAATGCTACAAGTACATCAGATGGTTGAAGAAGAAAAAATGGCTTTGGAAGAATATCTGAAGAACAATGATGAAGATGCACTGAAATTAGTATATCAGGAAGGCTTACTAACTACTGGAGAGACCAAACTGGCCTACAAGAAAGACCAAATGAAGAACAGAATAGAGGCATGGGAAGACAAAGCACTACATGGCCAATACATTAAAAAAATAGCTGGGAAAGCAGATAATAATAAAACCTGGCAATGGCTAAGAGCAGGAAAATTGAAGAAAGAGACCGAGGGACTAATTCTGGCTGCACAAGACCAAGCCTTAAGGACAAATGCATACAAAGTCAAAATTGAGAAGACAGCAACAGACAGTAAGTGCCGCCTATGCAAAGAAGCTGAAGAAACAGTGGACCACTTGGTAAGCTGTTGCAAGAAGATTGCACAGACTGATTACAAGCAGCGGCATGACAAAGTAGCAACAATGGTGCATTGGAAGATCTGCAAAAAATATCATTTGCCTGTAAGCAAAAACTGGTGGGATCATAAAATAGAGAAAGTCATAGAAAATGATAAAATTAAACTGCTCTGGGACTTCAGAATTCAAACAGACAAGCACCTGCAACATAACACCCAGGACTTAACAATTGTCGATAAGAAAGACAAAAAAGTCTGGATAGTGGATGTGGCAGTGCCTGGAGACAGCAGAATAGACGAGAAAGAACTGGAGAAGATAACAAAATACAAAGACCTACAAATAGAAATAGAAAGACTGTGGCAAAAGCAAGCAAGGGTAGTACCAATAGTCATAGGCTCCTTGGGTGCAATCCCAAAACAACTGGAGCACCACTTGAACACCATTGGCATTGACAAATTCGCTATTAGTCAATTGCAAAAGGCGGCCTTATTAGGAACTGCTTCCATCCTGCGACGATATCTGTAATACCATCAAACATCCACATCTGCCTATCCCAGGTCCTGGGTAAGGACTCGATAGGTAGACAAAATGCCAAATCCAGTCTGAACATCTGGCTGACTGTGCGATGATCAATAATGATGATGATGATGATGATGATGATGATGATGGAAGGGACCTTGGAGGTCATCTAGTCCAACCCCCTGCTCAGGCAGGAAACCCTGTACCAGTGATGGTGAACCTTTTAGAGACCGAGTGCCCAAACTGGAACCCAAAACCCACTTATGTATCATCGGGTGCCAGGTGGGTGTGGCCCATTGGGTGGGCGTGGCTGCAGTGGTAATGGCAGACTGGATGGGACTAAAAAGTTCAATCAATTCCAACTTTGCAAGATCTTTTTTTTTCCCACGAGAAGTTGAAATTGATTGATTGAACCTTTTTTTTTTTTTTTTGCACATGGCGGAGGCCTAAAGCGAAAATATTCTATAAAAGAACTAAAGGACTGGAGCCACAGCATGTGTGCCCACAGAGACGGCACATATTCACCACCACGGCCGTATACCATTTCGGACAAATGGCTGTCCAGTCTCTTCTTAAAAACTTCCAGTGTTGGAGCATTCACCGCTTCTGGAGGCAGGTAGTTCCACTGGTTAATTGTTCTAACTGTCAGGAAGTTTCTCCTCAGTTCTAGGTTGCTTCTCTCCTTGGGTAAGATGGATAAGCCACAGCAAAGCAACTTCTTTGTTCTCCTGGTGTTTGGAGGTGGAGGATTCGTCCCAGCTGTTGCTCTTGCATGTATGAAGTTTGAGGAAAGGGAGAGAAAATGCTGAATTACCAAATCCCATTTTTCTCAAAAGGAGGAATGAAGATTAAAGAAAAAGATAATGACCCTTCAAGCTGGTTCAGTGTGAAACAAACAACTGCAATGGGAAGCATAGCATTCCTGTTGCTTATCTCTCACTCTGCTTCATTTGCCATGAAGGAGCCCAGTGAAATTTACTTGAGATTCAAAACCAGGCAGGCACAGGAAACATAAACTCCTCCGGGTGACAGGGAGGGATGGGAGGAGGGGTCATTTTTAAAGGGCCCCAAAGCGCAAACTCCAGTCTCTCTTCTCCTCGGTGGCAGCAGGTCACACTAGAATCCTCAATTGGGTAGAACCAGGCACGACTTCCATTCCTTCTTCCTTCTCTTTTTTTCTTCTCACAAGATATTCTCATTGATACTGTGTTGGGGCGCCCCAGGAAGCCTCTTTCCTGAAAAAGGGTAAGGAGAACCTAATCCTATTCTTTTTGAGATTGGCTTTAATTTGCGTTCATAAAGAGGGTTTTTCCTGCCTGTGTTTATAGCCCAAATCTCATTTGACATGAATCTGGCACAAAGCCTACAATCGGCTATAGATATGAAGAGCCCCTAATAAATCAAGTTAGAGATAGTTTTTCTGTAATTATCTTTCTTCCTACAGAGTGTGTGCAATTTAATTTGATGGACAAAACTCCTCTCCTTTGGCTGATGGATTTCAAAAGACCAGCACTTGTCCCCAGGAGCATGTCATGCCTTAATCAAGGAAAGGCCACCTTTTAAAAATATTAGTCACTTTGGTTTTCTTTAAGTGAGGGTAATAGTTTCTTTGATGTGTTGTTGAACTAATTAAGATGGGGATAGTTTAACATCTAAAGGAATACCGGCTTAGCAAAACAGGAGAGGAAATTTAAATGCACACTGTCCAAATGTATGTTAAGTATTTCATCTTATCAGAGTGATTTAATCTAACTTTAACTTCTTTTTAATTAAGCAGGAAACTTATCCCTAGTGTAAGCACCTGGGCAAGAAAAAAAAATTCTGTCCTGAAGAAAGACCAGACATTTTAAACTGAATGTGTCTTAAAATGGCAAGTCATTTGAAGGCCAGGGAGCATGGCTATTCTTGGAAATAGCCTTGACGGGTTTCAACAGATGCAGCCTGAAGAATGTGGCTGGGGAGGGGCCTAAGGGGGGGGGGGAAGGAGCAGCTGACCCACTGCTTTGGTAATGCTTGGGGAGGGGGATTTGGAGCCTTCTGGCATGCAAGCAACTTTGACACTTTGAGCACAGATAGCTCTCTCTCCCTTACGCACGGATAGCTGTTCTTCGGGAGGCGTTATGAGAGCAGCTATATTCTCCCAAAGGAGCTTAACTTTCCGATAGATAAAATGCCGAGTGGGGCATGTTTGAAGACTTAAGTGTGAAATCCTTGACAAGAGAGAAATGCTGCATTAGGAGATTGCTTTGCAGGAAATGAGGTAACTAGTTTATCTTTACCACTTTGGCACTATGCCTCCTTGCAACACGTAGGTGCTTACTTAGCTACTTCAGTGCTATTTGCTTTTATATTTCACCAGTTATTTAATTCATTTATTTGGTGCTTATCGAATTGCAAGATTTCCTCAAGGAGAAGATATTTCTTGTCCTTTCTCTGGCATGGGCTAGTTTGAGTGTCGAGAATGTTCGGCCTGAGATCATTCAGGGCAATTCATAGCTGAATGGAGATTCGAACCCAGTCCTGGTTACAAAAACTTTGCAACTTCCTGTAGGACATCACAGGCAGGTGTTTCAGTCTCTAACTTGACTGAACACCAAAATGAAAAAGAGCAGATTCTAGAGTCTGGATATTTGGTTTCCTAGGGTTTACATAATGGTTTGTCTGGTGGGGATATGATGGCTGCTTTTTGAGTGAAGTTTTTTGTGCTTCTCACTATGGCATAGAAAATTCAGCTGGAAACATTGGCCCATTTAAAATAAAAAATCTGAGTAACATCCATCAAACGTGTGAAAACATATTTTATGGCAAGTTGGAAAATATGTTTATGTTTTAATTATTTTTATTGTAAACTATTTCAAATTGTTGCTTATAGTAGCAATTAGAAATGAGTATAAATCAGTCTTCCTGAAACTGAGCATCCTTCAAAAGCTTGGATCAGTTCCCCAAATTCCCATGCCAACATTTCCATCACCAAGAAATCTGAGTTTAATTTTATAATGCTGTTCCACTGTTGTTGGCATTTGAGTTAGTTAACAAAATATTCAAGGACAATGAAACAAAAAGGGGTAAGAATGAAAAGTTTATTATTATATCCAGCTGAGGGCAAGACAAGAAGTAAAGGATGGAAACTTATCAAAGAAAAGCAACCTAGAACTAAGGATAAATTTTTGGACAGTGAGAACAATTGATCAGTGGAACAGCTTGCCTCCAGAAATTATAGGTGCTCCATTACTGGAGCTTTTCACAAAGAGATTGGACAGCCCTTTATCTGAAATAGTATAGGGTCTCCTGCTTCAGCAGGGGGTTGGACTAGAAGATCTCCAAGGTCCCTTCCAACTCTATTATTCTGTTATTCTGCAATTAAGTAGCCCTAAGCAGTTGAAAAAAGCAGCTAATCATTAAAGCTGATCAAAATAAGAAATTAGATAAAATCAACAGACATCTTAGGAAACTGATAGCTTAACACTACCATTTTACATCATAAACTTAACTTAGCTTATCAGTTACAGAAATAATTTTGAACATGATATTATACCCCAAATATTTTATTTCAGAGGATGCAAAATTGAAAAAGTTATTATTCGTCTATTAAACCAGAGTTCTGGGAGTCATTTAAGCTATAGCTGTATAAGCCTGAACCTGTATTCAAGACAACTAAGGATTACATATATTATATACATTTCTAATATATGTAGTCTCAGGCATAGATTTTATCTATTAATTACTATTCTAACTTTCTGCTTAAAACAATGCTCATGTAGCAACCAAATGAAATGTTAATACATAACCAGATATGAGGGCATAGGATAGAAACATAAAAATGCCATTTGCACAAGAGCAAGACTTAATAATAGAATATCTACTCAGAAGATGCTTGTAATGGAACACAACACAATGGAAAATTAACTAGGTTATTCTAGGACAAGCAGCTCTTCTAAAATGGAGAACCAATTCCTCTATTACTTCAAGTAGAATGATCCATTTAACTATAAACATAGTCATCAAGGCCTGTTAATGAATCCCATAGAATGTTTATTCAAAAGGCAATTAACCAGTTTCCTCTAGTTCTTCAAACCTAAGAATAACCTTGCTGGTCAGATCAACATCCTTACAATCAGCTTCACTGGATGAACCTTGATCCTAGTGCCTTCCATGGTTTTATAATCTCAATCATATTCTTTCTCAAACTATAGCCTCCAGAATTCTTCATCATTCATTATGCTTTCTAGGACTGATAGGAGTTGAAGTTCAAAGCAACTAAAATATCAATTTACCTTTCTCTCACCTGCTGCAAAGTCTTTATCCAAACAGCAATGTTTTGGAAGAAAATAATTCCATCCCTGCAGGCTTCAATCAAGAAAGGACAGGAGTCATCTGCTCTTTTAGATGAAAGATAAGGATAGCTTTTTAATGAGCAAACATGCATATTATTGCTGTTGTTAGATTTTCATTCTTTTAAAAAATATTTGATCAACTCAAGGCAACAAACATGCCTAATAAACCTTCCTCCTATTTTTTCAACCTATGTGATAGGTTGGGCTGAGAGAGTGTTACTGGCCCAAAATCACATGCCTAAGGAGGTACAGGAACTCACAGTCTCCTGGTTTGTAGGCCAGCACCTTCACTACACTGAGCTGGCTCTGGTGATTTGGAATGGAGTTGTAGTTTAATTCAGTGGGTTTTGTTTTCAAATAAATTAGGACTTTATGGGAGTCTGATCTGATTTGCCTATCCAAATTAATCTGAAGTGAAGACTGACTTGGAAAATATTAATTTGCAAAGGTCATCTATTCAGTGAAATGTGCCATTGAATAAGTATTATAAATTTTACATGAGTTGTTAGTCCTTTTTAACCCTTACAGCTGAAGGGTTCAGGATCAAGAGTCTCTGGCTTCACATTCCCCTGACCTACCCACCTTTGTACTTCTGTTACAAAAGGAGGGAATTCTGTGCATGTTCATTTTAACAGATTAACTCTATGGGATTTGAGGCTGGGTTATTAGTAAGGTTGCTTAGATTAACAGCCAAGAGGATCTATTTATATTTATATTTATATTAAAGTTAAATTGAATAAAAATCCATTTCAGCATTCAGGATTGGGATCTCGGGAGACTGGAGTGACTGGGGTGCAAAAATGCTCTCCTATCCAGACATATCATCTGAAGAGGGATACAAACTATCATTTGCCGAGTGATAATTAACCATACAGGCATACCAACCAAATGCTGCAGATGTGTTGGTAAAGTGTTAATTATCCTCCTGCCCGTTTATATTTCATTTCTTTGAGGTACACTTACAGATTATAAGAAAGCTTTGGGATCAATTTTAGTAAGATGTTTAAATATGGGTGTACAAATTATTGTTTTTTTTCTCCTTGTTCTGGGTTTTTCTTAGCAAGCTCCTGGCTGTGATATTATATTGCAGTCATGGCGCCCAAGAAGAAGAATGTCAAAAAGAACAAGGCGGATATCAATGAGTTAACCATTATAGTGGAGGATGGGCCTCTCAGCAAGCTCAATGGATTGAATACCTTCCTGGAAGGAGGCAATGGCTTCAGTTGTGTTTCCACAGAAGTTTCTGATGCTTTCTATAGTCCCAACCTCTTGGAAGGTTTGTGTAGGATGAGGCTGGAAAATTTTCTCTGTGATTTAATAATTGGTACCAAAACCAAGTCCTTTGATGTCCACAAGGTGGTGATGGCATCATGCAGTGATTACTTCCATAACATCCTAAAGAAAGATCCATCAACTCAAAGAGTGGACCTCAATGACGTATCCCCACTAGGCCTAGCCACTGTGATTGCGTACGCCTATACTGGAAAACTTACACTATCCCTGTATACTATAGGTAGTATTATCTCCACAGCCATTTATCTTCAGATACATACCCTTGTGAAGATGTGCAGTGACTTTCTGATGCAGGAAATCAATGTGGAGAATTGTATGTATATTGCCAACATTGCAGAGACATATGGACTGAAAACTGCTAAGGAAGCATCACAGAAATTCATTAGAGACAATTTCATTGAGTTTTCAGAATCAGATAATTTCTTAAAGCTTACTTTTGACCAGATTAACGAACTTCTTGCAGATGATGACTTGCAGTTGCCTTCTGAGCTTATTGCATTCCAGATTGCAATGAGATGGCTGGAATTTGACCAAAAAAGAACTAAGTATGCTGCAGATCTTTTGAGCAACATTCGGTTTGGTACCATCTCTGCCCAGGACCTGGTGAATTATGTTCAGACTGTACCAAGAATGATGCTAGATACAGATTGCCATAGACTTCTGGTAGATGCCATGAATTACCACTTACTTCCTTACCACCAGAATACTCTACAGTCAAGAAGAACCAGGATTCGTGGAGGATTTCGAGTTCTAGTTACAGTCGGGGGACGTCCAGCTTTAACAGAAAAATCTCTTAGCAGAGACATTTTATACAGAGATCCTGACAATGGGTGGAAAAGACTTACAGAGATGCCTGCCAAAAGCTTCAACCAGTGTGTCACCGTGATGGATGGATTTCTCTATGTGGCAGGTGGCGAAGACCAGAACGATGCCAGAAATCAAGCAAAGCATGCAGTCAGCAATTTTTGCAGGTAACTGATTATATATAGCAGTAGCGACATAGCACAGAGCTGACAGCTCCAGAAAAAGAAGGAGAAATATATGTATATGTGTGGCGGGGAGGGTGGGGGGAAAGAGAAAATATATATTTCCAAGAAATAGCAAATTAATGTGGTTCATTGCTTTAAAATTACTTTTCTCAACCTGGCGACCTCCTAGTGGATTGGATTACAACTATGATTAGCACTAGTCAGCAAAGGGGGTGGGGAATTATTATCCAACACATCTGGATACCACCAAGTCAGAGAAGTTATCCTGAAGTCAGATGAGAAGTCTTTTTTCTCTCTCTCTCTCTCTTTTCTTTTCTGGGGTTACACATATAAAAATAGTGCTATTAGTGCTAAAATAGTGCTTTGCTAAGAGATATGATTTTGCATCTTATTTTTCATGGAGAAATCTGCAGATCCTCTTTGTGCTTGGGGCAAAGCAGTCTGAGATCACATGCAGCTGCCCTACCTCACTTCAACCTTGGAAGCAAATTCCTGAATTCTATTTTTTTAAAAAATCCCACTATATTATGTTATGTTTGATCAATTCATAAAGTTGCCCAATCAATATGCCCCAGGAGAGTGTACAGTATTAAAAACCACATAATAACCAAAACTACATTACATTATTATGTATTATTGACAAGAGGGAATTTTCAAAACTGAAAAAATTACAGGCATAGAAACTTCCAAGCCAGGGTCTAAGGGGCAGAGCCTTTCAGAAAGAAAGTCAGAACCATTTGGATTTGGGGTGTTGGGCATGCAGGGGGATGTTATTACATAAGACAGGTGCAGAAATAGAGAAGACACATCTCCTGTGTCTCACCAGTTAGCACTGCTTATATGTCAAGACCCAGAATATGCCCACCAGGTCAGATCTTAATGAATAGGCAGAAATAATTAGAGAAAGGCAGCCTTGAAAATAACTAAACCTTAAGCCAGCAACTTGATTTGCATCCAGAAGCCTACTGGTAATCAGTGCAACTAGTGAAGTTAGCAGTCTTCGTAGCCACACAAAGGTAGAGGTGATCATGAGGACAACTCCCAATCCAGATTTTGTGCACAAGATCGATTTGTGCAAATTGTACACTTGTTCTATTAGGCATACTTGGGACCATCTCTAGAAATGAAGATAGAAACTTTCTGGACCCAGATGATCCCAAGACTGATCACTCAGTCTTACTATGGTTTTCTGAGCCTGTTCTCCCCCATCCAGACCTTTACAACTTCCAGAAACTGAGAGAATTTCAACAGTATCACTTGGGTGGCAAGGACTGAGCTTTATCACTGAGTTTCATCGATGTACTGATGACACTTAATCCCGTGATGACAGATATTAAATAGGGTTAGGAAGACAATCAAGCCCTGAGGCTTCTTAGAAAGCAAAGGCTCAAGACTACGCTGTGACATTCCCATTCCCTATCTCAATTAATGTGAAACCAACCCTACAAGAAGGAAAACCACTGTAACCTGTGCCTCTCACTTTCAACCTGCTGAGCTAATGGTGAAGAATATCATGATCAATGTTACCAAAGGCCACTGAGAGTTCGAGCAGCACCATGATGCTCCCATCCTGGCCCTAAAATTAGTTATCGACAAACAAAAGCAGTGCTGCTTTGGCATTCTATTCAGGCCTGAAATCTAATAGATTTAGATAATTTGTGACTTCCAGGGCTGTCAGAAACTACAGCTCAATAATCTTCTCATCAAGGGAAGTTTAGATATGGGTCAGAAATTGTCCAACACCACTGGGCCAGTAATAGTTTCTTGAGAAGTGGATAAAACATTGCCTCAATAATTGCAAGCAGAATCAACCCCCCCCCTTCAAGGATGAATTCATCATCACTTGGATCTATACATACCATGTCACATCCTAGGAAGCCTTGACCAATCAGGATTGACATGGATCTAATATATAGGTGACTTGGTTACAGCTCTAAGGATCCTGGCTACTTTCTTGGGGCTAGCCAGCTCAAACTTTTCCCAGATTCGAAAATATTAGTTATTGTGTAGTGGGTTTTTGGAGGCGTTAACCAGACCAGTCTAATACAACACGATTTATTGCAGCAGAAACAGAACTGAACTTAACCGACAGAATGGTAGCTATTTATACCTGCCGCCTCCAGGCGGCGACCAATCAAATCATAAGCCATTTTCCCACTCAAACTTAAACTTAACTTTCCCTCCAAAACAGTTGGAGACATGTTTAAACCAAAACACATTAATCCTTGATATCAATACATAACATTAGTAATGTGAGAGACTCTTCCCTGTCTTTTGCCAGACTGTATCTCAATCAACAGTACCAGACTTACACAACTAGAGTCCAATTCAAAGTAAATCCAAGTATCTTTGTCCAATACATGCCTCAAATAATCCTCTGCAGATGCAATAGGAGCAGAAGAATAAGTATTTTTTTCTCACTCTTATCACTGTAGGGTAACAAAAGCTCTTACTTATCTTGAGTCAGATTAGTTTGTCTTTCTCCAGTGATATTCTAGCATCTCTTCTGATGCTTCATCTCCTGGAGTTCCTCTGAGAATCAGGGGTCAGTGACAGAATGTGGCTGTCAGAAATTAATAAATTAATAAATATTTGGAGAGCAATCATATTAAGCAGTTTATGTAATTAATGTTAATTCAATTTAAATTAAATCAAATTATGTTTTGTTCCATGTATACTAAAAAAAGAAAAATACATAAATATTCAGATCCACTCATTTCCTCCCCTCAAGTACAGTTGATGATTGAGAGGCATAGTTACCATTATGTTATAAGAGCCATAGTGACACAGTGGTTAGAATGCAATATTGCAGGCTAACTCTGCTGACTGCCAGCAGTTCGATTTTGACTGGCTCAAGATTGACTCAGCCTTACATCCTTCCAAGGTCAGTAAAAGGAGGACCCAGATTGCTGGGGGCAAAAAGCTGACACTGTAAATTTCTCGAAGAGTGCTGTAAAGCACTATGAAACAGTGTATAAGTCTGCTATTGCTATCTTTCCCTTAGACAACAGGATTCCATTATTTTAATCTGTTTCTTTTTTAATTAAAAACAAAGTATGAGTGATTCAGATTGAGGATAGTAATTTTCATCTGCATAATTTTCTTGATAAAAATTATCCCATTTTACCAACATTATCCTTCTGTCTATTGGGGCAAAAGTGTGTGGTTTATGTCCTGTTATGGAATTCTTACTGACTCCTTCACTTGTTTGAAACAGGAAAGAATTTTATGTAGCCCTCCTTGTTTTCTGGAACATCCAGAACAATTGGACAACTTCTAGGACTTCTGTTTGGCAGTAACTTTGCATGCCAGTATTTCTTTTTTTCCATGACTATCCTGGTAAAGGAAGAAAAAAGCTAAGAGGAGAGTGTAACAGAGGATATATTTGCTGTGAAAAGATTTGCCAGATCACTCGAGGACATTTCCATTTTAGAAGGAAGACATAAATATAATTAATATATTTTTGACTGCAGACATCTGCATTTCCTGTCTAAACATTATTCTAAAGAGCTGAGGATGGTGCATACAATTTACCCTTTCAAGATTTTATCCTCATTTGATCCTGAGAAGCTGAGTGATAATGATCAGCCCAGAGTATCTTGTGAGCTTCATGAGAGCATCAGCATTTTAGACCACTTATTACAACACACTAGTTATTATAACGTTCCATTCTTTTTCCAAATTACTCAGAATAATTTCTAGAGTCAGCCAAGATGGCTTAGTTTCAGTGGTAGAAATATATTATTCTGCTTAATACTTATGGAATGGAAAGATGAATATGTTCCGTTTCCCCACATATGTCTTGCAGCAAAGAAGACATATACTATCCACCATGTATGCCAAATCATATATGGTTAGTTTTTCTCTTCACCACGTCCTAATTACACACAGCCTGAAATCACATTTAAATTTGGGGAAGAATTATATTCCAGGAATAGAAGTTTGGCCTTACATGCAGAACATTCAAGTTCTGGTCTCTGACATGTCCTGAGGAACTGCCAGTCTATGTACGTCTTTCTGACTAGAGAATAGATTGTCCAGGCATAAGGAACTTTCTAAAAACATATCTGTGCAGCACACTAAAAATCTATAAGAAGCAGGACGCCTCACTCCATAGAATGGTAGAAAGTGTCCCACAATTTTGCTTTGAGTTTTGAGATGTAGTGCTAAGAACTGATTTGAAATTGGTTATACTTTAGGACCTCCTTCCTTCAATATGCTGTAGCTGACTGATATCATTGAAACTTTTCATTCATTAGCTTCACATCTTTTGAAAATTCCCATCTAATTTTCTAGAAGGTACTCTGTAAGAGGAGTGATAGAAAAGCTAGTGCAAAAGTTCTCCTTTACTAAGTTTGCATAACAATTGGTAATGTTTTAGTAATTATTCATAAGCATTTCAGAAGGTTTTTTTTCCTGTTCTGAACAAAGAATGCAGACTTAGAAAAACAAGCATTATACATTTCTGAAATAGTTTTCTCTTATCCAGGCTGGTCTTGTTATTTCTTCAGTTCTTTAGGCATTGAATGAGGCAGAATGTTGAAACAGCAACAAGTTTATTGACTCAGAACAGAAGCAGCCCTAAAGGCTCCTGCACAGCTATTTATACAGTTAGCCTCTAGGTGGCAACCAATAGGTTTAAAGTAACAGTTTCCCACCCCAAACTTCATTATCAGCTTGGAGACAGCCATTCTAGCTTCCAGTAACAGCAACTGTTAAACAATACAGCAATGTAGGTCAGACATTAAGCAAGTGATTTAAAACAGTTGTGGCCAATACATTACACCCCTTCCCCTTAGATGGCTCAAACTCTCAATTGCTAGACAGGTCCTGCAGATATTTAGGTGGCCTTCTTGACTGTTCTGAACGTCTACAGGTTGCAGGAGTTTCCTGATCTATCCGCTCGCCTGCCCGGCTGGGTAGACCAGGACTCTGAGGTCCAGTGAAGTCAGGTTGACTCGGGTCCCTTTGGCTGGCCAGTCCCGGTCGGCCCAAACCAAAGTCCAATCGTGCAGCAAAGTCTGCAGGGCTGTCCCTCAGTGCAGTTTGCTGGTCCTGTTCAGCGGATACTGTCTGTCTGGGGGAACCTCTCCTACGGCCTTTTCCCTGTCTCCTTGAGTAAGAGTTCTGTTGGAGCGTGCAAGCTCCTCTGTTGGACCGCTGTTGCACGGCCCTTGCATGCGGCCCTCTTGAGAGGCCTGAGTCAGTGACTGGTTTGCTAGGCTCCGACGCAGCTGCTTAATGTGCCAGCGAATGACTCGCCCATCTTCCAGGACCACCTCATAAGAGAATGGTCCTGACACCTTAACAACCATGGCTGCCACCCACAAAGCCCCTTGCCTGTAATTCCAGGTCCAAATCCGGTCACCCACTTGCAAATTCTGAGGTGCCTTTGACTGAGCAGAGTCTGAGGCAACCCGGTCGGGATGCAGCCTGTCCAGCTTGGTGATCAAACATCGGCCCCATCTGAATTCGGCAGTACAGGGAGTTGTGCATTGGCAGAGTAGAAAATTGGCCAGTCTGTGGTGCCAATCCCGTGACAATCCGTTTTAGTGATTCCTTGGTTGTGCGGACCATGTGTTCTACTTGGCCGTTTGAGGCGGGTAAAAGGGAGCCAATGTTGTGTGCCATATTAGATTTGCCCTGAGGAAAGACTGGAATTCAGAAGCGGTAAACAGAGCCCCATTGTCAGAGACTAACACGTCTGGAAGTCTGTGTGTTGCAAAGATTCTGCACAGTTCCTGGATGGTCCTAGCAGTAGTCATAGTAGGGACTGGTACAATCTCTAACCATTTAGAATAGCTATCTACCACTATTAGAAACAGCTGTCCCTGAAAGGGCCCGGAAAAATCGATGTGGATTCTTGATCATGATGTGTGTGTGTGTGTGTGTGTGTGTGTGTGTGTGTGTGTGTGTCCTCCCATCAGTGGACAGGGGCTTGCGACATCTCCGGTCTGGATTGCTGCACATGTAGCAACCATGTACTTGGGTCTCGATGGCTTTATCTAGCCCTGGCCACCAAAGGTAGCTCCTCGCAAGTGCCTTCATCCAGACTATTCCCAGATGACCCTTGTGCAGAGACTCTAGGACCCTGGGCCTTAAATAGCTCGGGACTATGACCCTACTTCTCCAAAGGATGCACCCCTTATGAGCTGAAAGCTCATCTTTTCTCATGAAGAAACTCTGAAATTCTGGCTCTGGACATTTGTCCAGCCATCCTGTGTGTACCCAGTTTAGCACACAACTCAGCGTTTTGTCAGCTGCTGTCTCAGCAGCTATGTCCCCAGCGTGAAGGGGAGATTCTGGCAAATCCTGGATAGCCAGGATGCGTGCAGCCAGAGCTGGATCTGGCTCCACATGTAGCAGGGGCAACCTGCTCAGGCCATCTGCATGGCCCATTTCCTTGCCCGGTTTGTGAATCATCTTGTAGCTGTAGGCTGACAGGAAGATAGACTACCTCAGCATTCGAGGAGACAGAATCTGTTTGTTTGTTTGTGGTGTCTGTTTGTTTGTGGTGAACAATCCTAGGAGTGGTTTGTGGTCTGTGAAGACCATGAACTGGCGGCCATAGAAGTAGTCATGGAACTTTTTAACACCGGCCACAATGGCCAGAGCCTCCTTGTCAATTTGTGCATAGTTGTGCTCTGCGGACAATAGGGTCCTGCAGTAATACACGATGAGCTTCTGCCTCCCATCAGCCACTAAGTGGCTTAACACAGCCCCAACCCCATACGGGGATGCATCACACGCAATGCAGACAGACAACTGCTCATTGAAATGAGTGAGAACTGAGTTCAATGACAGCAGTGATTTGATTGCTTGGAAGTTACTCTTGTGGACACTGAGCTTGTCTATCCAAGAGCTCTGCCACTGCGGCCTTGTTTGGGAGGAGGGCATGGTAAAAATTCAAAAGGCCTAGAAAAGCCTGAAGCTCTCCCTTTGACTTCGGCCTTGGGACCTGCTGGATTGCTTTTAATTTGGATTCCGCCGGATGAATGCCTTCGGCATCGATGCGGAAACCAAGGAACTCGGTTGACTCTACTCCAATCCTGCACTTTTCTTTTTTTAGTTTAAGTCCCACGTCGCGGAACCGCTGAAGGATGGCCTTAAGCCGTTCAGCCAGAATCTCAACCCATTCCCCAGCAATGAGGACATCATTAAAGTAGGGGCAAACCCCTAGAATTCCTTTGAGCGTGCACTCCATTACTCCCTGGAACAGCCCTGGGGCTACACTCACTCCGAACTGTAAGCGCTTAACCTTAAAAGCCCCCCTATGGGTGACAATGGTCTGGGCTACCGCCGTGGCCTCGTCCACGGGCAGTTGTTGATAGGCTTGTGCCAAATCTAATTTGGCAAACATGCAGCCTCCTTGCAATGACGCCAAAATATGGCTGACAACTGGCACAGGGTACACATGCTGTTGAAGTGCCCTGTTGAGGGTGTACTTATAGTCAGCGCATATTCGCACTTCCCTGTTGGCCTTTAATGGCATTATTATGGGGGTCTCCCACACCCCACTGTCCACGGGCTGCAATACTCTTTGTTCCACTAGCTTATCCAGTTCTGCATTGATTTTGGGTTTTAACATGAAAAGCACTCTACGAGGCTTGATCCGTATTGGAATTACCATAGGATCCAGCCTGAGAGTGATCGGAGGAAACTTGTACTCCCTTAAACTAGAACGGAAAACATCCATGAACTCTTGGCAGACTGCAGACAGATCTGCCGCTTGTGTTCGGTGAATGCCAGTTACTTGAATGCCCAATGCATCAAACCAATCAAGCCCTATGAGACTTGTGCGTTGGCCTTCCACCACTATGATATCTAGTGGCCCCTTGAACCCCTTGAATTCCACCAGAAGTGTGGCTTCGCCTTTGACTACCACTTGGGAGTTTTGAAAGTCTGTGAGTAGTAGATTAGACAGCCAGAGCTTGGCCCATCTGTTGCTACAATGGCAAAGGTGCCTGAATGTTCCTTGTGAAATGATGGACATGGCTGAGTCAAAGTCACTCTCCTGGTTTGTTATTTGTACAGTATATCTCTTTTAAATAATATGATTAAGTACAGAATTCATTAATAGTCTAGAATGGGTATATAATTAATGCAGTTGTGTGGTATTATAAATAGAAATCTTCAGTCAAGGGAAAGGTAACTACCTCACATGTTCATATATAATGTGATAACTCTTACCCCTTAATAATTTAATAAGACCAGTGTCAAATCATTGTCTGATACCTTTCTATTTGTGTGATGAATCTGTTGAACAATCAAATTTATTTTCTTTTTTGGGAGGAGCATTCATTCAAGTACTCTTTCCCACTTATCTTTAGTACCTATATATTGGTGGTCTAAGTGCAAATAACTGCAAAGTTATTGTGGAATTTCATGTTTTTCTCCTTAAAAGATTTTTGATAGTAAAAGAAAAAAACTGAAGTGCAATAAATCAGAAGCAGCAACTGAAAACAAGCAGCTGAAAAACAAGGAAAATATACTCTCAACCTGGGAAAGATTTAAACCTCTTCTCCTCATTCTCAGCTCTTCTTGTCCCTAAAAGTGTTTTTCCCTCAGAGAAGAAACTTTAAAAATGAAGCATGAGATGCTTTAAAAATGATTTCAATTGAGAAAACAGGAGAAAAAGAGAAGGAGGGAGGTCTAGGAAAACTCGCCATGGCCAGATCTCCATCACTGACTTGCCTTGATTGGGTTGCTGCCACCAGCTCATCCTGGCCAGGTCATTGCTTCTGGCTCACCGCAGGTGACTGGATGTAGGACAAGTCACCCAGCAACTGGACATGGGGAAAACTTGCCACTGTGGGACAATCTGAGGATGAAGCGGGGAAGGGAAAAGGCACTTCATTTCCCCCCCACCCCCGGCCAGATGAAACATGAGCCCTGGCTAATGGGATGTGGGGATGGGGACCACTTGTGGGGAAGGGAATGGTAGACTCTATACAGGATTCCCCTCCCTGTGGGGTTGATGCTTAATCAGGTGGGGGTTAAGTGCCTCTTTCCCTTTCTACTTCATCCTCAAATTGTCTCACACTGGCAATTCCCCTCCCCATAAGTTGTCCCCATCCCCAAGTCCCATTGGCTGGGGCTGATGCTTCTTCTAGGGAAGGGGAAGTGCCTCTTCCTTTCTCCACTTTGTCCTCAAATTATCCCATGGCAGCGAGTTGTCCCCATGTCCAGTTGGTCAGGGTGACCTCTCCTGGCTCCAGTTGACCAGGATGAGCTGGCATTGGTGACCACCCGGGCTACACAGTCACAGCAACTTGGCTGAGGTGACCTGGCCACAGTGAGTTGTCCTGTTCTGGAGGGAGGGAGGGAGGGAGGGAGGGAGAGAGAGAGAGAGAGAGAATGAGAGAACTTGCTATATGATTCCTAATGCCTTTCTGATTTATTTTGGAGTGGGGATTGTAATGTTTTTAGCTTTAGAAAAATTAAGATGCGATCATGGAATTATATCTAGTTTATTCTTTAAAATAGATTACTATTTTAAATATATCCCTTGCTACTGAAGGATAAAGTAGCAAATAACGCTTCAACAAGCACTGAATGTCAATGTAGCTGGCATTCCTGTGACATTAATACTTCCTTATTTTTTTTCAGGTACGATCCTCGCTTCAACACTTGGCTACATCTGGCCAATATGAATCAAAAGCGCACTCATTTTAGTCTGAATGTGTTCAACGGTCTCCTTTTTGCAGTCGGGGGTCGCAATTCTGAAGGATGTCTCTCTTCGGTTGAATGTTATGTCCCTGCAATTAACCAGTGGCAGCTGAAGTCTCCACTGGAGATGCCCAGGTGCTGCCATGCTAGTGCAGTAGTAGATGGTAGGATCTTGGTCACAGGAGGCTATATCAATAATGCTTACTCCCACTCGGTTTGCATGTATGACCCCGCTAGTGACAGCTGGCAAGACAAAGCCAGCCTTAGCACCCCGAGAGGATGGCACTGTGCCATTGCCCTAAGGGAAAAGGTCTATGTCATGGGAGGGTCCCAACTGGGAGGGCGAGGGGAAAGAGTTGATGTGCTTCCTGTCGAGTGCTATAGTCCATATTCTGGCCAGTGGAATTATGTTGCTCCTCTTCCCACTGGCGTGAGCACTGCTGGTGCTTCTACTCTTAATGGAAGTATTTACTTAGTGGGAGGCTGGAATGAAATAGAAAAGAAATACAAGAAATGTATTCAGTGTTACAACCCCGACCTTAATGAATGGACCGATGAAGATGAGCTACCTGAAGCCACCGTAGGAGTGTCATGCTGCACCATTGCCATGCCCAACACTAAGACCAGGGAATCGAGATCTAGCTCGGTATCTTCGGTACCAGTTAGCATTTAAGTTCTTCTTTTTTTAATTAATCACTCCCCCTCCTATAGATTTTAAAAAGCTATACTAAATTTTTAAAATGTTTCTTTCTCACCACTGGGTCGTAATCCCTTTTAAAAAGCGTCCCTATCAGAAGGGATTGAGGAGAGAAGCATTAAAAGCTATTGGCATGCGTTTCAGTTTTATAAAATAAAAAGTGGCCAATTTTCATGGGATTTGAAAACACATGGTATGATCAAAGAAATTTAAAATCTAATACATTTTATGCACTACAAATGTGCACCAGAAGACAAAGGCCTCTGATCCGTTGATCATCACCAAGTTCCTTACTTCCTGTGGGACCTCTTGTTCAGATTCTGCAATCGATTTAGAAAAACTTAAGTGTTTCCAAGCACATGGCTCAAAGCATGGCTGATCAGAAGGCATAGTTCAGCTAAGTCTCCCTCCATAGGGGTAAAGGTAAAAGATGGAGCAATATATCAGAATTACAAATGGAAGACTAATATTTCTAAAGTCCATGGGCATTTGAGGTTGGGAGCAAATGACATCATACTCATCATAATATCATAGGGCAAGGGACATGAATTATATAATTTGCATCAAAGATACAACTGAGGCCAATTAGAGAATTCACATTATTTGCATATTGACACCAGTAATGTCATCCAGGCTTCTTACAGACATCTATATTGGAATCTTCTGCAAACTTCTGTGAATAAAACAAAATAATGTGACTTAGCAGGAAGCAGTTAGTATTTTAAATAAGGATTTGTTTCCAGAATGCAGCGTTTTGCTTTATTGTTGTTTACTGAATAAATCATAATTGGCTAAACTCACACAGTAAGCTAAATCATTGCTTACAAAGCTTAGTGGCTCAGTTCCCATGACATGCTAAATCACAGGCAAATCACATATAGTGAATTATATGAATCTACCTATAATCTATAAGAAGGCATGAAAATAGATTAACTCTATAAATATGAGAATATAGATATAAGTAAAATCTAAAATTATGTCATATTTCTGCAGTGCCTGGGACTCTGTCAACAGATCAATGAAATGTTTACATGCAACGATAAAGTTCACCCTGTGGTTAGGCTTATGAAACTGTGATTATGCTGACCCAAGGTCTGCAAAAAGTCATATGATATGTCATCTGAATTTGGAAGGGAGGGGATTTAGCTTAAGGTTTAATTCACTTTCTTCCTAAACAGGAAGCAAGAATAGTTGCACAGTGCAGCTGCTTCAACCAAGGTCCTCACACAATTTCTTCAACTCATGCATGTTGTATGGAATAAAATAAAGATGCCAGAGAAAAGGTGGTAGCTTAGCTTTCCTTCACTCTACATAAATGAGTCGCTTAAAAAAAAATTAACATATCACACACATACATATCAGGAAATGTCAGCCAGGCAGTTCAAAGCTAAGATGGTGGGGATACTTGATGACATAGCATCAAGGCTTCTTCATGGTACTCAATACCATCTGGCATGGCATATATGCATATATAAGGCTAGCCCCAAATAGTTAGAAAGTTACAGTAAAGAAATAGTACATCAGGTTTCATACATTGCACTAAACCATAATGTATTTAATTTTGTCTTATCAAGTTCTACAAATCCAGCCAACTGTGCTTTATTCAATAAAACATGGTTAAACAAAGGCTTAACGTGTGACAACCTGATCGAAATTCCAAAACAGCCATCTATGCAAAACACAGTATGTAAGGACTGTCATGTAAGCATGTGCCTCAAGAAGTCTTTCCCTTCACTTTGCTCCTTATACATCTTGTACTCCCAGCCCAATTCTGTTCCAAAAATATTTACAACTCTCTGGAAAAAGTCTGAGGATGCATTAACAGGAATGAATTGCCTCCCACCATTTTACAAAAAGAAGCCCTTCTGTTCATGAAAGGTCTTAAATGTGCACTGTCCAAAATTTCTGTTGACTTTATTATTTCTGAATTGTATTCTGATAGTTTCATTTCTCTAATGCCTCTTTAAAAATAAGCGCCATTGGGCTTAATGGAGCTTCTTTTTAAACAAACATACATAAAATTACAACTTTGATTGAGTTTAATGGTCTTTACTTCCAGGTAAGTGTGCATTTAGATTTGTCTTGATCATACCATGTAACAAGATTTTTTTAATGACAAACAATTGCTTCATATTTGATCCATAACAAAAAGAAATGTTTACATATTGTTTTTTATAATTGTCCTATCATAGTCTAACGTAGTGGTTCTTAATCCTGGGGGGAATGGTGTTATCACACGGGGTCACCGAAGGATTGAAGAAATGTTATGACTTAAATCTTGAGTTAAGTCTTGGTGGTCCATGACCATGGTCCATAGCCACAAAGAGTATTTAAAAGGGGTCCGTGATGAAGAAAAGATTGAGAACCACTGGTCTAACATATTTCTCTAATAATTTACCACAAGTAAGCTGAAATTGGGAAAATTATTTGGTCCAATAAGTTAATAGCATTGTTTAGAATATCTGACAGGGATCCAAAATCTTCATGTTAATTTACCAATGCTTTCACTTGAATTGCTTACATAACATAGTATGGAAGAAGAAGAATGAAGATACAACTAAATTAGTCTGAAAGGTGTGCTGTTACTATTGTTTGATACTTGAAGGGCCCTGTCAGTGTGCGTCTGTCATAGTTTAAATCAATAATCTAAAAATAGGAACAATTTCTATTTCTTTACAAGCTGCAGAAGCAAAATAACCCAATTTGTTTGGGACTTTGTTTATTTATATTTGTGGGCAGGGATTGGGTGGGAAGTAACGAGATATACCAGAAATTAATATACATCTGAGTATGCACAAATGTTATCAGCCTTAACTAGAATAAAAAGGACAGGTGTTGCTAGACTAGAAACGTGATGTGAACTGATTCCAGCAAGGCACCACCTAACGATGCAATAATCCCAGTTAGCAGGCATCTTCTATGGCCCTACCATTCCTGATGCCACTGGCCAGGACCAGTTTTTTCAAAGTCTAATTAAAGCTGGGGCACTCCATATCTTGTAACTGCAATGGCACCTGCCTAGAACTCACCAGTAATGTACCACTGATATCCTTGGGTAGTAAGATTCAATCGCCACATTTAAGAAAGAAACAATTACATAAAGGAGTAACACTATCCCAAAACAGGAAAGCATACTGAGCATATTAGCATTATGCAAGAGTAACAGGCTAGAGGCTTGCTTCATATCATATCTCTGCCAAGAATATATATTTATGATCGATATATATTGTATCTTATGTGTGTGATCTTTTTATTGTAATTTGGTCAGGGGGTTGTAAAACAAAAACAAAAAACTTACCAACTGCTCCTGATTAATGTAGTGTATGTGTGTAGGGCAGGGGTAGGCAACCTTGGCTCTTTTATGACTCGTGGACTTCAACTCCCAGAATTCCTGAGCCAGCCAAGCTGGCTCAGGAATTCTGGGAATTGAAGTCCACGAGTCATAAAAGAGTCAAGGTTGCCTACCCCTGGTGTAGGGCCTATAATCATGGTCCCCCTTATCCACCCCCCTTTTGAAGAGTAACAGTAACATGTTTTTTAAATGTATAATATGAGCATAATATTCTCTTTCTCATATTATATTGAACACCAATAGGAAAGGATCAAGTCTCCAGGTTTTGCATTACTCAGCTCTCCTGAATAAATGTGCAAAATTCTCATGATGAAAAACAGAAGTAATAAAAGAAAGAAGATAATAGATTTTATACTTTGGTCTTTAGTCTTACATTTTTATGTGGTTATGTTTGTAACATTTCTCAGTCCAGTTCTAAAGCCTGATCTGCAGAGGTAAGCCTACAAGTCAGTATTGACTCTTGGCAACTGCCTGGACAAATCCTGGCAGTTTTCTTAGCAAGATTTCTGAAGTGTTTTGCCATTTCCTGCTTCCCAGGACTGAGAGGGAGTGATTGACCCAGGGACACCAGGTTGACTGTGTGCCTAAAGCTGAATTAAAACTCACAGTTTTCCAGTTTTTAGCCTGATGCCACCTGGTGCCTTAACCACTTACCCCAAACTGGCTCTCAAATATACTGATACTGTCTATTCACCAGATATCTCTTGCATAACACCAGATTTGTGTTTGCTGGAAAGCCAGTTCAGAGAAAGTGAGACACTTGGAAGCAGTAATATTCACATTAACAGTTTCTGTGAATGACAAGATATCCACTTCAATTGAGGTTGATTGTTTCACCTAGGTATCTGTTGCAGTTAGAAAACGTGAGGTTAGCGTAAGATTAATTGGAATGCATAATCTGGTCAATTCTGACATAATGAGGAAAGTATTTTAATATAAAACATAACTGTAACAAAATGTGGCAATGCATGTTGGCTTGGAGATTTTCAAAAGGGGATTAGACAGATTCAGGGAGCAGAGAGATTTGTTAACCACAATTGCAGTGGAAAACTCCAATATTTAGTGACGCTAATGATCAGTTGCTAAATTATGGAAAACATTTACCTTCAAGGCCTTATTTACCTTCAAGGCCTTTTGCCAACTATGGAAGGTATTTGATTTGACTGAACTCTGATTTTCTTAGACCACATTGTTTTCATCAGTCCTAGATACCAAGAGATCCTTTAAAAGTCATTGAAGCATCCTTTAGAAACTCTTGGAAAATGTTTTGATGAAGTTTCCAAATGCACCAAGAAAAGAACAATCTAGTGCTCTCTAATTTTACAAAGGTTTACAAGTAGATGGAGAACGAGGCATGCATTCAGTCCCTCTCCTTATTCTCTCAAATGTTAAACATTCAGCTTTGGGGATCTTATGAAAGGTTGAACTTGCATGTGCTTTGAAGACAAACACACGTTCCCGGTTGTATAGAGAACTGTACTTCAGTTCAGTTAATTGAAAATGGAACCCCTTCTCAGATTTTCCAGCTGAACATGTGGAAGTTGCAAGGCTGGGCGCATAATCCCATTTTCTAGCTACTTTCAAGCCCTTATGCATTCAGGCAAATACATGAAGAGTTTTTCTAAGACTAAGTCACTGGCTTTAGGAATTTTGTACTACTGCTATAGCAATCTATGTGCAATTGCAGTTTTGAGTAATCCCATAGATTTCAACAGGAATTATAAAGAGTGCACAATTTCTTACACGAGAGCTAGCAATTTCCAAATTTATGGTTTCCTAACAAAATATTTCCAGGTGAAGGCACTGGAATTAATTATAATTAAACCATTTAAATATTGCAAATATGCAAAAACATCACACTTTTTGCTAAGGGTTATTATAATTAGAGCTGTGCAGTCTTGGATTTAATTCCAAAAAACTGCTTCAAGTGAGTTTGCAAATAGAGCAGTTATCAGCGACTCTAAAGCAGTCGTGTTTTTTCCCAGATCCACTGCAGAGAAGCATCATCCTAGTGAAAGATATCTCACTCTAAAAAACTGCAGATAGACACTACATTATTCAAAGTACCTCTTCTAATACTGCTTTGCTGTATTTATCACTTCTGGCACAGGTTCTCAACACTTATTACTAACTCATCTATGCTACTACCAGAAGCCTGACATATAGAAAGTGGCAAGTTAAGCTTTTCCAGATATGAAGAATGACGTCTGTTTAAATGCAAGGAATGGGGGAATGTTAATTTGTATATACCTAATAACAGCATACAGAGATGATAGTAGGCCTTAGACCAGGAATAGATCATACGCTGACTTCCAGATGTTATTAAACAGAGCAGCTCCAAAATATTGAAGGAAGGTAATCAATACTGAAAAAAAAACAGGAATTACAAGACAATGTAATACTATTTGCATGATTATATCCCCCAAGTCTTGAATGAACAAAGAAAAATGAATGTCAGGTAAAGGTACATGTTATGTGATAACAAAAAGAGAACGAAGTAATTATTACTGGAAATTGAAAATTATGCTAATAAACTTACTGATGATTCCCTGACTTGTACTGGATTGCAGGAAAATGCTTATATATTTCTGTTAATGAAAATTTGAACGAGAAAAATACAGTATTGTGTGTAATATTTTCTAGTAATCATCTATTCCACCAGAGTTATGCAACCAAGGAATTATAACTACCTATATTAAATACTTCTCTATTTTGTGAGACACAAATCTTAGTTTAACGAAATATGCTTATTAAAAATAAACAGAAAAAAATCTAGAATGCAGAATGCAAAAGCTTAAAGGAACTCATTATTTTTTATAGAATGGAGTATAAATTCAATGTAAGTTTCCTGCTTTCTGCTGCATAAAGTAGAGTTGTGGGGATATCTGATGCAGCGATTCGATTCAGAGATTCAGATGAATCTATGAGCTGAATTGGGAATCTTTTAATAAATTAATACTGGATGGTTTTATTTTCTTTTATTATAGATTTTGAAAGAATATAAGAAAAACATATAGCAGCAATATATAAAAATAGTGGAAGCAGATTTTGTTCAGTGGCATCCTTTCATATGAAAGTAATGGTAAATCACTTCTCTACAGGTAGTTCTCAACTTATGACCACAACTGAGCCCAAATTTTTTGTTGCTAAGTGAAACATTTGTTGAGTTTTGCCCCATTTTATGACTTTTCTTGCCACTGTTGTTAAATGAATTACTGCAGTTCTTAAATTAGTAACATGGTTGTTAAGTGAATCCGATTTCCCCACTGACTCAGAAGGTCGCAAACGGTGATCTCATGACAATGACCAAGACACTGCAACCCTCATAAATATGAGTCAGTTGTTAAGCAACTGAATTTTTATCATATGACCATATGATGTGCTGTTTATGGTTAGAGACTGGAATGCCAAAGCTGGAAATAGCAAGTAGGAAAATGTAATTGGACTGTGTGGCCTAGTTTTTGTCACACAGCATGACTTATCACTTTTTGCCAATCCAATGATTTCGTCATTGCTAACAACGAATGTCTTTTTAACTTAGACCCCAAGGTAAAGTCTTTCTTCATGGCAAATATTAACTGGGGTTATATAACCTTTTACTGTATTGCAATACAAATTTTCTTATTCCAGAAATTAGAATACACTAACATGTCATTATGTAAAGGAACACTAGAGGCCAGT